TTGGGGAGGGAATAACTGGGGGTTGGGATGGAATAACTGGGGTTGGGGAGGGAATAACTGGGGGTTGGGATGGAATAACTGGGGTTGGGGAGGGAGTAACTGGATTCTGGCACAGTTTCAGTGCAGAAAATCCCAAGGAATCACAGAATCACAGGTATGGAGCTGCAAATTTTGTTCCCATGTCCTGGGTTTAGTAAAACTTGACTAGTCAGAAGGTGCTCCAGGGGCAGAGTTAAATCCTGGACGTGCCCAGAGCCTGAGGAGCTGCTTTCAGGAGGCTGAGGAACAATTCAGGAGTGGCAGGGGAGGATCTAAGGCTGGAGGACAGGGAAGAACCTCCCACAATCCCACTTTAGCCCCATCCCAGATTTCTGCTGACAGCAAAGGCCTGTCCCAGCACCAAGGAACATTCCTGGGAAGAGCCTTGAACAGGGTGGGGGACTTAAAGTCCTCAAAACTGTCAGTATTTGGGGCATTTCTTGCCCAGCTGCTCCCAGCTGGAGCAAGTTCAATCCTCACCTCCTCCTCTCCACTCACATCCTCCTCTTCTCCTTCCTCCTCTTCCTCCTCATCTTCTTCATCTTCTACTACCTGAGCATCATCATCGTACTCCTCTTCTGCACAAACACAACGAACCACTCAGACATTTCCAGCTGATTTTTTAGGATGTTGCTGCCCCAGCTCTGCCCTCCCAGGGACACCAGGAGCCCACAGGGAGCCTTCCCTGGGGCCAGCAGAGGATTTTAGGGAGCTGTGCAGCTGCACCCCTGCTCTGGGGCTGCTCAGCCACTCGTGGAGCCTCGGGACTGGTGCAGCTCCAGCTGCTCCCCTTCCCATGAATATGCATTTTGGAGCCCGGGGGACGTGTCCAGTTCTCCCAGTGTCCAGCTGCTCCCACCAGGAGAGAGCAGAACATCCCCACCAGGAGTTGGGAACCCTTCCAGGGACCCCCCCATGCCTTGACACCCCCCAGTGTCACCTCCTGTCCATTTAGGGGGTCACAGCCCCTTTCCAAGGGGAAAGGGATCAAACACAACCACCCCACGTGCTCCGACCCAGAGCATTTCCCTGCTGCAGGAACGGCCTTTGGGAGCTTTTCCATGCATTTGTGTGGAAGCAGGCACTGCCAGGCCCTCTCAGAGCTCCCACTCAGCACTGAGGGAAAAGTGCAAGTGCAGCTGTTCTGCTTTTGCTGTGAGAGCTGGGTTTGGGATCCAGCACATTCCCCGGCTCCGGGGGCTCCTCCGGCCGTGCCGGGTGTTGGGGGCAGATGGCACCTCCAGCTCTGGGACCCCCTCATTTCCCTGCCATTACAGGTTTGTTTGGGATCCCCCTCATTTCCCTGCCATTACAGGTTTGTTTGGGACCCCCTTCATTTCCCTGCCTCTAAAGGTTGGTTGTTCCTTCATTGCTTCAACACACACTCACTCACTCCTCTCTTCTGGCTGATCTCGTTTTGTCCTCATGGATCAGCCTCAGCTCCTTAATTCCTGCTGTTTTCCAGGTTCTCACCCTGCCCTTCTCCCTCTGCACATCATCCTTCTCACCCATTTCTGCCGAACACCCTCACCCCTGGCTGCTCTGTTCCCTGAACCCTCTCAGTGCCTTCCCCCTGGTGCCTTCCTTCTCCCACCCTTCTCTAGGGATAAAATCCACAGAACCACAGAATATGCTGAGCTGGGAGGGATCCACAAGGATCATCCAGTCCAACCCTTATCCCTACACAGGCCCATCCCCAAGAGTCACACCCTGTGCCCCAGAGGATCATCCAAACCCTCCTGGAGCTCTGGCAGCCTTGGGGCTGTGCCCACTGCCCTGGGGAGCCTGGGCAGTGCCAACCACCCTCTGGGAGAAGAACCTTTCCCTGAGATCCAACCTGACCCTGCCCTGGCACAGCTCCAGCCATTCCCTGGGTCCTGTCAGTGGTCCTACAGAGCACTGTGCCTGTCCCTGGTCCCACAGAGCTCTGTCCCTGGTCCCACAGAGCTCTGACCCTGTCCCTGTCCCTGGTCCCACAGAGCTCAGTTCCTGCCCTTTGAGGACGTGGCTCTTTAGGCCCCGTCCACCTCTCTCCCCTCATTCCTTTGAGGACACTGAGCTGCAGGAGCTGCTGAGAACCCCAAGAGCTGCAAGCCAACCACCCCAGGCAGTCCCTGCACCCCTCAGGCACCCCCTCCACCCCCACCTACCATCCTCATCCTCCTCCTCGTCGTCCAGCCCCTCCACGTAGCCCTCGGCGTCCGAGTCCGGCGCTTCTTTGTCGTCCCGATCTTTCACTAGAGATAAGACTGAGAAAGTTGCTCTTTCAGGCCCTGCCCATTCCCCTCGTTCCTTTGAGGACACTGAGACACTTCTCCTTTACATCAGCCAGGAAGGAGCTGCCGAGAACACCCTTCTCTTGCCACCAAGTCAGAGCTGGAAGCAAAAGGCACCGAGAGGCGGCGTGTGGGTCTGTGACCCCGGGGCCCCCCGGCAGCGCCCTGCACGTACCATCCTCATCCTCCTCCTCGTCATCCAGGCCCTCCACGTAGCCCTCGGCGTCCGAGTCCGGCGCCTCCTTGTCGTCCCGGTCGTAGCCATCGAGGTACGTGAGCTGGGGCAGGAGCTTGAACACGTTTTCTCTGTAGTCGTTCAGGTTGGTGACCTCGCAGTTGAACAGGTCTAAGCTCTTCAGGTTTTCTAACTTTTTCTGCAAAAAACAGGGACATCTCTCGGCTCTCATCCCCTACAAAGCAACGGGAGCGGAGGGAAGGCACCCGAGGGATTCCCGTGGGCACAGGGGCATTTCCAGGTGTTATTTGGGTATATTTGGGGCATTTGGGCACTTCTAGATCGGGGTGGAGAAAGATCTGCAGGGTCAGCTGTGGGATCTGGGAGGGGTGAAGGATCTCCCTGGAGTTCAGCAGCTCACAAAAGTTTGGGAGAATGCACCCAAGGGATTCCCGTGGGCACAGGGGTGTTCTGGGGGGTTACTGGGGTATATTCAGGGCATTTGGGCACTTCTGGATTGGGGTGGAGAGAGATCTGCAGGGTCTGCTGCAGGATCTGGGAAAGGTGAAGGATCTCCCTGGAGTTCAGCAGCTCACAAAAGTTTGGGAAGAGGTGATGGTGCTGTGAGGGACCACACTGGGAATAAATAATATCCAGTCAGTTATTCCAAAGGCTCCAGAGCCAATCAGGGGTTGTGAAAGTTTGGGAAGAGGTGATGGTGCTGTGAGAGACCATGGTGAGAATAAATAATATCCAGTCAGTTCTCCCAAAGGCTCCAGAGCTGGTTCAGTGTATTGAAACTATTTCAGATGGAAGTAGGAACAGGGTATTTGGACACAAGAACTTTGCTAAGAGACGTTTGAAATACTTGAATGATTTTTACCTCAGTCTCTGGAAAATGAAAAAGGTGTAGAAATGGAATAGGAATTGATTCCTGGGGTTTTTGGTTGGGGTTTTTTTTGGAGGGGATCTGCACTGCCCACAGCACTTTATCATGTTAATAATAAAAGCACAGGAGTTGAGGGTTTGGATCCACCCTTATTAAGTATTTCTATCAAGGCTTATGACACATCTCCCTTCTGCAGTTCAGTGTGTGGAGCAACAGTGACACCGAGGAAACAAGGAGCCTGAAACTGGGAGAACTGGGACAACTGGGAGCACTTCCAGCCCTTGGAGTTTAACAGCTCTGCCCTTCCCTTCTGCTGAGGGGAAGGAGATCCACGATGGAACTGCTCCTGGAGACGTTGCAAGGCAGTGCTGTGTCTGGAGGGCAGATCCACAGCCCGTGGAGTCCTGGGAGCTGCGGGATTCCCGGGATTCCCGCAGGGTGGGGGAGCCCGGCCCAGCCCCGCAGCCACTAGAGGGACCCAGCGGCTCACCGGGAACAGGGAGAGGGACCGGGATAAGGGCCTGGAGCCGGGACAGGGGATGGCTTCCCACTGCCAGAGGGCAGCGTTACATGGGATACTGGGAAGGGATACTGGGAAGCAATTCTTCCCTGGGGAGTGGTGAGGGACTGGAATGGAATTCCCAGAGAAGCTGTGGCTGTCCCATCCCTGGCAGTGTCCGAGGCCAGGTTGGAGCAACCTGGGCTGGTGGAAGGTGTCCCTGCCCATCCAGGACCTGCTTAAGGTCCCTCCCAGCCCAAACCACTCCAGGATTCTCTGGGATCAGGTCGGAGCAGCACAGGCCCTGCTCCCTGGGCAGTGTGTCCATGGGGGAGCTGAGCCATCCCTGCCCTTGCCGTGCAGCCAGGGGGGGAATTTGGTCCAAAGCTCAGCCAGCTTCCCAAGAAACAAGCAGGCAGGGAGAGGGAGGGAGTTTTCCAGCTGGGATCAGCCCAGAGAAGCTGTGGCTGCCCCATCCCTGGGAGTGTCCAAGGCCAGGCTGGAGTCACCTGCTCTGTGGAAGGTGTCCCTGCCCCTTCCCACCAAAGCACACCAGGATTCCCTCATCCCCCAGCGGGGTCACCCCCCCGGCCCCGACTCACCAGAGGTTCTATTGTACCGAGATCTTTAATTTTGTTGCCGCTTAGATTTAGATGTGTGAGGTTTGGACACTTTTCTGCCAACACTTCCAGGCCTCCTGAGATTCTGTTGTCGCTCAGCTCGAGCTGAAAGGCACAGAAAGAGCTCGAGCTTGGGGTGCAAACAGAGCCCGGAGCAAAGGGGATCCAGTTGTTTTTACCCAACTGGACACATTTGGGGGGGAAAAGGGAGGGGTTGGCCTGGGAGGTTTTTTATTTACCTTCTTAAGTTTGTTTAACTTTGGTAAGTTTGCAACTGAGGTTAAGCCTACGTTGATTGTACTTAAGAATTCCAGCTCCTCAAACTCATCCGTGAGGCCCTCGATTTTGCCTTCGTACGACCTGCAGTTGTCCAGAACGAGTTCTTTAACCTGGGGAGGGAAGAGAGGGCACAAATCAGGAAAAAATTCAAGGGATTCTGGGTATTTTCAGTGTCTGATCCCTCCTTTTGCTGGTCTGGGCAGCAGCGTTTCACAAACACCGGGATTTGGATTTGCTGCCTTTTTTTTGCAAACGACATCAACAGTTCAAAACATGTCCTTTCCTAATTCAATAATAATTTAAGTAACTGATTCTCTATATAAATATAGAATAAATTACTCATTTAAATAATATTATTAAATTATATTATAGATTAATGCTGGCTTAACCCTTCTGCTTGTGAGAAGCAGCATCATCTTTAATAAACACGAGTAAAAAGAATCCTAAAAAACCACAAAACCGAGTGAAAAGCATCCTAAAAATATGAAACCAAACTATCAATTTTTAAACTAACAACTCTGCCCCTCCACACAATTCATGGGTTGCTACAATATATTACTGGCTGTTAAAATGACTTCTTCCTGTAGAATTTTTGGAAGAATTCTTCCTGGAAGAATTTTTGGATCTTCCCAAGCCGGGTGTGCTCAGACACCCCCGAGAGCAGGACCTGGAGATCCTAAACCAGGTCATGTTTGATCCTCCTCTCCAGGGCAGCTTGATGGGGTATTTTAGGGAAGATCTCCAGGGAGGAATGTGGTATTTTAGGGAAGATCTCCATGGAGGGAACTCCTTTGTTGGGGAACAAAGGGACGTGTTTGGTGGTGCGGGAAGGGGAGGCTCCGTGAGTGTCACTGTCCCCTTATCTCCCCCACCCTGCTGCAGCAGGGGGAGGTGGAGATAATGTCCCCAAGGGTGGGGAGAATGTCCCCAAGGGTCTGGGAGCTGCAGACCTGCCCAACAAGCCCACGGGATGTTACAGCCCAGGGTTTGGGGGTTGTTTATAAACAGGTTTTTTTCTGCTGTTACCATCCACTGACCCAACAGCACTGATGGAAATGAGACCCCAAACACAGCCCAGCCCAGCTAAAACTGCTCCTTTTTCACTTAAACTGCTCATTGTTTTACTAAACTGCTCCTTTTTTACTTAAACTGCTCCTTTTTACCCCAAAGCTCCCAGGATTCACATCCCTCCCCAACCAACTTGAGCTTTCCCGGGCTCTGCACGATTCCTGTGGCTCCACAGGAAGGACCCCCCTCCCATTTGAGGAACAGCCTTTTCCACACCTCCCAGAGCATTCAGAGGGGAGAAATAACTCCCAGCAGATTTCCCTGGAAAAGCCCATCCTTGTGCTCGGTTTGTTTCCAGGTGGGAAAGGGAAGAGGTGCCGCTTCCCACTGGGAATGGGATAAAAAGGACCACGTGCAGAGACAGGAGGCCACTGCTGAGCTCACCCCAAGGACAGTTAACATGCAAATACTGCAATTCCTCCATTTTTATTCCTGCAATCCCCCTGCCCAGGGAAGAATCTGATGGAGTTTTCCAGCTCCAAATAACATCCCTAGATTTCTAATTAAATCCCAGGCACTGAAGTCAACAGGGAAGGGAGCCCAGAGCAACACAGAGCACAAGTGATTCATTGAGAGGAGGAGGAGCAGTGCGAGACAGGAAAGGCTTTTTTCCAAGGCTCCACGGTTTTCCTAGAGGAATTCTGACAGGGAATGGCTCCACCAAAGCCCTCCAGAAGAATGTGAGGGTGGGGAGAAGAAACCCAAGATCAAGTCCATGCTCCTGATCCCACATGTGACTATGGAAAAAAAAAAAAAGAGCCCCAAAACTCCCCAAATAAGCTACAAAACTCCAAAGCACTCCCTGGTTTGAAATTTTAAAGCCACTTGCAAGGCAACTTTTTATCTTTTCACTCAACAGCATCTTTTTACTCAACAGTATTTGAGTATCAGGAGCCTCCAGCGAGATCAGTCTGGGGACAGACAGAGTCCTCTCGCTCATCTGCTCCACACACACCCCGAGTTCCCGCCAAAAAAGAAGGGAAAAAAGTCAAATAAAGCTGCATTTGCCCCTATCTGGGTCCCTGCTCGGCAGCAGGAGGGTCCTGCCTGCTCCTTTATCTCCCCTGGCCAGGGAGGAGGCTCAGCCAGCACCCAGGGACACCTTTGGGAGCTGTTCTCCAGCCCGGGAAGCTCCTGCACGAGGGGGGTTTTGCCTCATCCTCTTTGCAAGGAAGTTTGTGGGAATGCAGGAGGATGAGGGAAGGATGGAGGGGAAAGGCAAAAGGGGGCAAAGAGCACCCAAACCTCCCTGGGAGACAGAAACAGCACCTGCCCTCACCCAGGGAGGAGCCATCCATCCATCCATCCATCCGTCCATCCATCCCTCCATCCGTCTATCTGTCCATCCATCCCTCCGTCCATCCCTCCATCCGTCCATCTGTCCATCCCTCCATCCATCCATCTGTCCATCCATCCTCCCCAAGGATGGAGAAGAGGCAAACAGGGAACTGGACAAAGTTTCCTCAGGAGCAGAGAGGAAATTTGAGGCAGAGGTGGAAGTAGCCATGGACGCAGCAGGAAACCCTTAAATATGACAGGAGATGAGCCAACCTCTGCTTTTCCTTTGCTCCTTTTAGGATCCTGGAATGGTTTGGGTTGGGAGGGACCTTCGAGATCATCTCATTCCACCCCCACCGTGGGGGTTTTAGGGCAAGGCTGTTTCCTCTCTGCTTTCCAAAAAACTTTGATCCAGAAGTACCACATTCTCTTCTTCCCAGAGATCCTGGGCAATGGCACAGGCAAACAACTCCATCTCGGAATCCAAGTGGCCAGGGCTGGAAGCAGCTTGGTGGAGCTGGAGATTTATTTAGGGAAGAGCAGAGCAGGAGCTCCTGATCCTCCCCAGGAGAAACCACAGCAACACCACATCAGTGCTTTTGAGGCCAGAGGTGCATTAACAACACATGGAATCACCACTGGAACAACAGGATTCCAGCCAAAATTCCAGTCAAAACTAGGATGGTTTTATGCTCTAAGAGATTTATGAACCCTGTAGAAGACTCAGGAGGATGAACTGGGCTCGGGGGGCTTTTCCCGACTTCCCTGCCATGGGCACCCTCCCTGTCCCACAGGACCCCATTCCCTTCATCCAGTACAAGCAGTAGGAGCTCCCACACAGCTCTTGGAAGTGTTACATTCCCCTCATCCCACTCTCCTCCCCATGTCCTTAGGAACTCTCTGGTCCCTGTTCCAGTGGAGGTGCCCCAGGAACCTCCAGGACTACCAGGGCACTTCTCCAAGGCTTTGGCTGCTGCCCAGAGATCCCTTCCCAACCCTGAGCCCCCCGGCTGGGACTGAGCAGCTCCTCCGAGTCCTGGAGAACATGTGGATGAGGGGAGGGGGATCCCACTGGCATCCCTGCACTGCTGGGGATGAGGCTCTGGGGGGATGATTTGAACCCATCTGGGATTGAGTGTCCTCAGGAAATTTGTGTTCAGCTGCACCAAAGACAAGCAAACCCAACCTGCCGAGGTTGTGTATCCTTAACTCCATCCCTGCACCACAGAGCAGGGCCTGGAGTCAGCACTAACAGAACCCAAACCACAGGACCTGCACTCATCATCCCAAAAAACTGCTACACGTGGGAAACAGTGGGAAAGCAACAGCCCACAGGCACCCAACCACCAGTGCCACCACAGCACCTACTGGGACAGCCTGGGAGGCACCCAGAGGTGAGAGGGTGGCACAAAAGCCACACAGGACATCCCAAGACATCCCCAGCCCCGACTGGATCCATGAGAAAGGACCAGCAGTGTTTGGGTTGGGATGTCACACGTGGTGCAGCTTCAACTGCCCAGCGTCCCTCACCCAGCCTGGCCTGCCTTGTCCTCTGGGCTGGCCCTGTCCTGTCCCTGTCCCCATCTGTCCCTGTCCTTCCCTGTCCCTCAGCAGGTGCCCCCTGCTCCAGCAGGCACTTCCTGGGGGCTCCCTCCCTTCTGCTCTGTGTTCTCCCGGGATCAGCCCTTGGCTTTCCCGCAAGTGAGGAGATTCCTGCTTCTCCCCCCACCTCCCCAGGCCCCACAGTGGCCATCCCAGACTCTATTCCTGACAGTCCCAGGTGCTTCCAGCACATGCCACTGGGTCTGGTGGATGCCAGCATCCCTGAGCTCCTCAGGACTCCCCTGCCATCCCCCTGCCTGGCTGGTAACCAGGGCTCTGATCTCCCTGCACTCTGCTGGGTCCCAAAGGCACAGCCTGGATCCTTCCCAGCCCCGGATCCTTCCCGGCTCCTGAGAGCCTCCCCCTGCTCCCAGGTGAGCTGGACAGCCAGGGGGGAGCAGGGACTGCATCCCATGGAATTCCTCCCAGCTGACACCTGGGACCTGGCAGACAGACCACCCCTCTCTCCCTCATCCACACAGACACAATCATGGAATTACTATGGTTGGAAAAGCCCTCCCAGCCCATGGATCCCCCCTGTGCCCCATCCCCACCTTGTCCCCCAGCCCAGAGCACTGAGTGCCACGGCCAGGCCTTCCTGGGACACCTCCAGGGCTGGGCACTCC